TTTTTTTTTTTTTTAATGGGGGGGGGGGGGGGTTTGGTATCAAGCATAGGAAAAACCTCCTCAACATGGGCGGAGTAGAATTTTTTTCTCAATTGCGTTGTAATTGATTTCCTTTTTTAGAGATTTATCAAAATGTTAAAGAACATAGTCCATTTACCTTCGTATTGGTCTGAAAAATCAAGTTAAAATTCTGTACGAGTCGTTGCCTCAGTACGGTGTCAACGTGTTGGGCAATAACACTTTCATCCACCAAAAAAAATAATCCATATCTATGAGAATTTTCACCAATATGCAGTTAAAGTACATCACTTCCTGTCCCATTTCTTAGTCCGAGACTGCTGTGTATGATCATCACCACAGGTTTGTTGCAACTTGCAAGTCAATCAGACAGTCCTGTTTTGATCCATTTCTTTCACTTCGTTATTCAAGATCATGATCCCCTAAGTTGGGGGGGCGGGGGGATTTAAGTTTAAATGAATATTTATAAAGGAGAAGAAAGAAAGAGGCTTTACACACATGCTCTCACCTGCCAATAATAGTTCCAGTACGGCTGGGTTCATTGGCTTGTACCTTGGCCATTACATCCTTTAGTTTTTTGACTAAAACAATCTAAAAAGGGCCTCTATATTTCTCTTGTGCTTCATCCCTCTCTCAACCATTGTGGTCTCTCCAAGCCTTTTAGCAATCTAAATCATGAACAACCACCATGTCCATAAGCTCATCGCATGAAAAAGCATGTCAACCAGATAGTATAAAAAAAAAAAGTCTCCAAGCCCTCAGCGTGCAGCATCGACCCCAAAGACCTTGCGAATTTACAAATGCACAATGACGCAATGATAGCTGCACTTGCTGGTTTTCTGGTAAATTTAAGCCAGGAATAGCCATCAGAAACTGCTGGCAATGCACAGAAAAAATATGAGGACAAGGCNAATTTATAAATGCACAATGACGCAATGATAGCTGCACTTGCTGGTTTTCTGGTAAATTTAAGCCAGGAATAGCCATCAGAAACTGCTGGCAATGCACAGAAAAAATATGAGGACAAGGCAATCAATTAGCGGGGTTAACCTAAGGGATCAATCCCCTAAAATCTGCAGCAAACCCGGACAACCAACTCAGGTCAGTCAAAACAAAGCTTCTAAACACAAACATGGAATACCAGAATAAAAAAAGAGTAAGCTAGCTATTTTTTTGACCGTTGAATTTTGAGCTTAATGGACCATGCTAATATAATTGCTGTCGAGAAAAAAAGATGTCAAACTTGAGGAGGGGTCACTAAGAAAGATCAACTGAAATTGCATGTTACTAATAAACCTAAATGACAGGATCAAGAAAGATCAAAATATATGTGAAACAATTTCAATTCATAATTTTTACAAAGCTTATATGCAAGTATGCACATCTTCTCCAAGCATTCAAGAACTTGCGGAGACTACTAGAAGGGGATATTTTCAGCATCAAGAAGAGGACCTAAGACTCATAGACTCACACCAATAGCTAAACTGCACGTATATGCCAATGGGGATGTATTGGATAGAGATGCATGAGACGTTTTCAATTGAGGATATAAACCTTATGTTACAGAATCATGGTACCTTAAGCACGTTACCCTTTCAAGTTCTTTTTGTAGAGGCCTAATCAATTTCACTTCTCATAGCCAACATGAGTTAACCATAAGGTGTGAAGCAAAAATTCCACAATGGAAAAAAAGAGCAGACAGAACATGGATACTGCCACTTGAAGACCATTTTCAGGAGCCATCTCAGAATCAGAAATAAATAATCAGACTGTCCACCCAATCTGGGACCTTCACTCATCACTTTCATCTGTGTATTCTTCTGCACTTCTCATTCTCGAACAGGCCTTGTTACCTCTCACAATGCTTGATAGCTCTTGTACTGAACATGAAGTGCTTCTCTCCATCTTGTCAGCCAGTATCTGTGTCTGCTCTGAAAACCCCAAGCCTATAAGCTTATTCCTCAACAATTCACAAGTAGAATGGTATGGTGATATCCCTTCATCAATCATCATTTCAAAGTATTTGCAAGCCTCCTCTAGTTTACCTTTCTTCTTAGAAAGACCATGGACCATCACAGCATATGTTGAGACCGAAGGATAAAACCCTCTCTCTTCCATACTTTCCCAAACTTTTGCTGCTCTATCAAACCTCCCTACCCTGATCAGCATTTTGAGCACCATATTGTATGTATGCCGATCCAGTTGGCAAAAATCTTGATCCATTCTTGAAATAAGCCTAAGCGCCCTATTAACTTCGTTGTGATCACAATGGAAAGCTAGGATTGCATTGTAACTCCATACATCCGGTCTCACCCCTCTCTCAATCATCTCATCCAAAAGTTGGTAAGCCTCCTCCACCTTATCACTCTTACAAAGCTTCTTGATAATGCAATTGAGAGTAAACACATTAGGCACAAGGTCATATCTTTTCATTCTATCAAGAACCCTAAATGCTGAATGAATATCATTTGCCTCACAAGAAGCATGAATGAAGATCGCGTAAGTAAATCCATCTGGCTCAAGCCCCTTAGACCTCATTTCCCTGAACAATTTATGAGCTTCATCCACATTCCCTCCTTTGCACAAAGACTCCAACACACTATTATAAGCAGGCACATCAACCAAACATCCTCGTTCAAGCATTTCATCGAATAACTTACGTGTCTCATCGGGCTCACCTACATCACCCCACCCTCTCATCAAAATGCTATAAGTTTTCACACTTGGCTCAAATTCATGNGGCACATCAACCAAACATCCTCGTTCAAGCATTTCATCGAATAACTTACGTGTCTCATCGGGCTCACCTATATCACCCCACCCTCTCATCAAAATGCTATAAGTTTTCACACTTGGCTCAAATTCATGCTTAACTTTATCAAAGAATTGTTGGGCATGCCTCACATGTTTCCTTTTACACAGCACATATAAAAGTTGATCAAGATCATCAATACCAGGTTCAGTACCGAAATCAACCATTTTGTTAAAAGCCCTGATGGCATCAGCTGGTAAATTAGCTCTACTATACCCTCTAAAAACCAGCCAGAAAATTTCTTGGCTAATTTCACAACACTGAGTGTCTCTTATTGCCACAAGAAAGTCCCACAACAATGGGAATTGTTTGCTACTTCCTAAGATATCAACAAGAATGTGATAGCTTTCTTTATTGTGACTAAATCCAGGCAATCGCTGAGCCCAAAGAAAGAATCCGTGGGCAGAGAACCCAAGGTTTTTGCACCGTTTGAGGACTTGCTCAACCAAATTGGTGGATATTTGGGATGAGAATGAAGTGAGAGCTGATTCGATGTCGTGGTGGGGGCTTCGATAGTCACTGAGAATGCGAGAAAGCTCATTGACGAGTTCTGGCGAAGGTGAAGGTGGGTCTGGGTCTGGTGGTTGAGAAGAGAGAGGCTGAGATGAGAAGGGTCTGGAAAGGTTGTGGGTCGTGGAGTGATGAGAAGGGAGTGGAGGAGATAGAACAAAGTGGCCTTTGGGCTGGTGGAGTTTAGAGAGATGAAACTGAAGAAAAGAGTGGAAGAGATGTCTTATGGTTCTGGAGCAAGAGGAGAGTGATCTAATCACCATTTCAGACACAGACACCTTAACATCACCGAATTAGTTACTTGCAGGTTCCAAATAGATTTCATGTTCCTTGCAGAATCGTTTGCCCTCAATTTCTGTTCTTTTATTTTTTGATCGAGTTCAATTTCTTTTCTTATTACTCAACATTTCGTCAATTACATTCATTATAAATAATATATATAATTAAAAAATATATATTAAATAGATCTAGATTTATAATCTTCAATTATGAACCGTAATCTTTATAATGCCAAATCCAAAGCGATGTTGAGAGGAAGATCCCCTCTCATTTTCTACGGACTTATTCNAATGTGATAGCTTTCTTTACTGTGACTAAATCCAGGCAATCGCTGAGCCCAAAGAAAGAATCCGTGGGCAGAGAACCCAAGGTTTTTGCACCGTTTGAGGACTTGCTCAACCAAATTGGTGGATATTTGGGATGAGAATGAAGTGAGAGCTGATTCGATGTCGTGGTGGGGGCTTCGATAGTCACTGAGAATGCGAGAAAGCTCATTGACGAGTTCTGGCGAAGGTGAAGGTGGGTCTGGGTCTGGTGGTTGAGAAGAGAGAGGCTGAGATGAGAAGGGTCTGGAAAGGGTGTGGGTCGTGGAGTGATGAGAAGGGAGTGGAGGAGATAGAACAAAGTGGCCTTTGGGCTTGTGGAGTTTAGAGAGATGAAACTGAAGAAAAGAGTGGAAGAGATGTCTTATGGTTCTGGAGCAAGAGGAGAGTGATCTAATCACCATTTCAGACACAGACACCTTAACATCACCGAATTAGTTACTTGCAGGTTCCAAATAGATTTCATGTTCCTTGCAGAATCGTTTGCCCTCAATTTCTGTTCTTTTATTTTTTGATCGAGTTCAATTTCTTTTCTTATTACTCAACATTTCGTCAATTACATTCATTATAAATAATATATATAATTAAAAAATATATATTAAATAGATCTAGATTTATAATCTTCAATTATGAACCGTAATCTTTATAATGCCAAATCCAAAGCGATGTTGAGAGGAAGATCCCCTCTCATTTTCTACGGACTTATTCGATTAGAAAGAAACGAATNTTTATAATGCCAAATCCAAAGCGATGTTGAGAGGAAGATCCCCTCTCATTTTCTACGGACTTATTCAATTAGAAAGAAACGAACGATGGAAATTGCTAGCCACTTTAGGTGGCAGTTGAGATGAAACTTGCACTTGCAGGGAAAGAAAATTTTCCATTGATGTTGTAGAAACTGGTGGCGTATTTTATTGCGAAAATATCATTTTCTTGTACTTTCCGTCACCCTCAGGCTAATCAAACACAGGAAGTGTTTTCCACCTTTTTTATTCTCTTTCTAACCGCCAACTACAACAAATGTTTCTTTTGCCCAGGGATTTAAAGGTTCACATCCGCCATAACAACCGTAAGTAAGCCCGTCAGTTTGGCAACTTCAAATTGGAAGTAGGGTACGGCAATCAACATGGATCACAAGTACACACCCTCACGAGTTTGGGACGGGGCTAACCCATCAATCGCAAAGGTTTACTTACGGTTCTTTACCCAGACGATACAGTCGTCTACTCTCTTCTTGACACCATTCTATACAAACAAGTATTCGTCCACACCCATGTTGTACTGGCCTTTTCGCTCAGGAGTCAGGAGCCTCAACCAGTGTCGGGCAACGAATTGGCCCCCTATGCCTGAAAGCTTAGTTGCCGTCCACCATCTTGCAGGCCAGTTGATAATTGTATGTTTCCCGTTAGACATCAAGATTAAAAAAAAAAAAAGAACAGAAGAAAAAGAAATAGCCCAAACGAAACTTTGAACAGAACGTCTTTAAAGAACAACCACAGCCACAAACTATTTGAACTGTCATAATGAACAACACTCTATATAAAGGACCATATATTTGGGGACAAAAATTGTAACCAAGATGACTACCAGTCACATCCAACTATAGGAACATTCAATGTGACCAACATTTATCTCCTTAGCTTTGTTCTTCATTTCGCATCTCCCTCTCCTCTTGTGCAGCAGCCATTAACTCGTCGAAGTTTGCTGTCTTCTCCAGTGTTATCTCAATCTGAAAAAGGAAACATCAGCAAATGTAAATCACAGAGCAACATACTACTCTGCAGTTAATGTATAAACAAGAGGGAAGATTACAGTAAACCCCTTGAACCAAGTATTTGACACTTTATCACCTTGATCTAAAAAACTATCAGTTGCCCCCTTCATGTACAAGTAAAGGTTGTGTTCAACATTGAATTGAGTAATGTAACTTGCAGATGACAGCAAAAACAGGGTCTTTTTTGTCACCAAAATGCCATCCTTTAAAGGTTTGTAATCGAAGGTAAGTAACAAAATCCATCCTACTTTATTATATAGATATAGACATGCACACGATTAAATCTCATGCCAACTCCTCTATCTCCCACCACAACACCAGATGCTAACCTTTCACGGCCAAGAAGCATCATCGGACTGGTATATGTTTTTGCCAAGACTATGGGAGTAGTTTTGGTATTGTGGTGGGTGGAAAGTAAGGTGGTGGTGATATGAAATTACGAATTAATGCAGAAGGTGGTTCAGTGGCTGACCAGGCGGCGACAGTGGTTCTGATGAGGAGATGAGTCATTCTGCCATGTCAGATGGCTAGGCAGTCATTCTAAGCACTAAGCAGTAATGGGTGGCTGGCTATGTGGTTGTCAAAGTTGGAAGTCACAAATGAGTAACTCTAGAGAATANAAGGAGATGAGTTATTCTGCCATGTCAGATGGCTAGGCAGTCATTCTAAGCACTAAGCAGTAATGGGTGGNCAGTGGTTCTGATGAGGAGATGAGTCATTCTGCCATGTCAGATGGCTAGGCAGTCATTCTAAGCACTAAGCAGTAATGGGTGGCTGGCTATGTGGTTGTCAAAGTTGGAAGTCACAAATGAGTAACTCTAGAGAATAAGATTAAAAAGAGATTTTTGTTTTTGNATTCTGCCATGTCAGATGGCTAGGCAGTCATTCTAAGCACTAAGCAGTAATGGGTGGCTGGCTATGTGGTTGTCAAAGTTGGAAGTCACAAATGAGTAACTCTAGAGAATAAGATTAAAAAGAGATTTTTTGTTTTGGTTAACCATTTAATTTTAAGGGGAATTAGAGTAACATAACCAATTCTGGTAACAGCATCCATACAAGTTTGAGTATATAGAGATAAAGGGGGTCACATTTTTGGTCTTTTGGTTCAGGGGGTTAAGTTCCAATTGCCCATAGCTCAAGGGAGCTTGCTGTATTTTTCCCTTAAGAAATGGAAGATATAAATAACATCACAGGGCAGATTACAACAAGCAAATATAAAAACTTCGATAATGAGCAACAACTTCAACAAGCACACACATGTCAATGTGCAGTATAAGAAAGCCATAGAAAAACAATATAGTTCCTCACTATGGAATTCCTCAAGCTTCATAGAAGACTATTGCATAATGTAACTAACCTTGGCTTTTTGGACAGGTCTTCCCCTTGATTCATCACTCATGTCCACACTGGAAGTAATAACTTCTGCATGGTTTGATTTCACAGGAATCAAATACATCATTCATTAATTCTATGGAATTTCACAAATTGAAGGTTGACCTTCAATGATAAATTAGGAGAAATTAGGAAGACAGGAAGAACTTTTTAAATGCACCAAGAAACTCACTCTTCTCAACAGCCAGACCATTGTTTTTCAGAATTTCTGCAACAGTGACAACTGTGGCAATTGCTGCAGTGCCAATCAGAAAGAGGATATAAACATTTCTGTACACATAGGAGCAACAACTACTGGTAATGAAACATAGCGAAGACGGATGAAAGAAGGAAGCTTTGTGTGTATGTATATGCATGCGCCCACAACCCACCATTGGTTCGCAATTGAGATAATCAAGAGCTAAACCATAACTCAGGCATCAATAATAACAAGGACAAAGTTAAAGTTAATCTAATTCCTGCATCCATTCAGCTGCCCCCATCAATAACATTCATGAACCACCAAGCTATGAAACACAAGGTCCAAGTATCTGTCGAGTCCGATATGACTCAGAAGATCTAATCGGTAGCTGAAAAGTAGACGCTTAATCAAATTAAAAGAGGGAATCACTGATGGGTTTTTAATAGCTAACACGAGCCTTCTCTAATCAGCTAGCAAGCAAGCATCGCAGACAAGGGTTTCCATCCCCATAACAATGGCTATGCTTAAAGGTGAATCAGCTGAACCAAATATTTCGCAGCTAAAGTCTCCTTTAGTGGAACAAATATTCATATTCCACTCAATCATAAACAAATATTCCAATTAATCCACATTGGTTAATCCTATGCATATGTCTGCGCATGGGTGGGATCGAAAAAAAAATTTATCACACACATTAAGAAGAAGTTACCCATTCCAAGAGCTGAAAGCTCCACCTCATCGTGTTGCTGCATATACCTCTGCACCGGAATCAAAATTCCAGCAATTAAATAAACACATACATTAAAATCAATTACATAAACGAAACGAATACAAGCAATGCTAGTCAACGGGGAATTCAAAAACAAAACTTAAGAAAAATAAAATACGCAACAGATGAGGACACCCAAAAAATAGAATTTTAAACGAAAAAGCGAAGTGAATACAAAGTAATTGGAAGGAAGAACAATGCTTTGGATTAGAACTAAACACATGAAATTGCAGTGCTCATATAGATATAGATTTGTTTGTGTTGTAAGGATTTTACCTTGGCCAGATTGACGTAGAAGAAGAGAGGCTTCTTGGTATTAGAGACTTGAATCCGATTCTTCTTGTGAGAATCGGAGATGTTCATACTGTTCACTCCCTCCGTAATTTCTTCCATTGGTTTAAAATCCCCAAGCCAAAACCCAATTCGAAGGTTCTCTCTATTCTAGATCAAACAGATGGGATGGTTAACGAATAGCGAACAAATTTGAAGGTTTTGGAGGAAGATCGTGAGTGATTTCTCTCTCTCTATGTATATCTGCAAGTTCCGACTCGTGGCCAGGGCCAGAGTTTCTAATCAGTTTGGAAAGGTGGATATGAGAGATTGTCTTGAATTGGGATTGCACTAGCTCAAACTTAAACCTAGAAGGAGACACATCAGTACAGTACGGGTTGGTCCGACTGTGCCACGAATTCTGACGTATTATCGGCCCGGGCAGACACTGGTGGTCATGGGCTGCCCAACAATTCTCCGGAAAGGAATGTGGGTTGCAGATCGTCAAACTTAAATGGTTGGAAGAGGCTCTTGCCACACTGGTTAGCCCAATTGATCCACAGACTACTAAGACATGGGGTCGTCCATGGCAGCCCAAACAATCGCGTGAAAAGAACAGTAGACCCTAAACTTGTGGAAATGCGCTAAACAGCCCAATAAATTCGCCTTTTTAATAGAAAAAATAGTCATTTGGAAGTCGGTACATCAAATTAAATATAATTGTAAAAAAATATACATAATAAAATATTTTGAAATAAAGTACGCAACTTAGATACAAAGACGTATATGCCTATTTTGTAAAATTTTCTTTCCTAAAAGCTAAAATAACACATTTATCTTAAGCGCTAAAATTTAGGGTCATTTAATTCGAAATCTCTAATGCACTTTAATTCATGCGTATTTTTTTTAAGAAAATGGTTTTGTTTTCAAATTATATTCATACATTAAATATTTCTTAGTTTTATAGGAGAATTTTAATATTTCGTTTATTTTAGATTATATCACTTTGTTTGAATTTCAAAATTTATTAATTATTTTTTTTATATAATTTAAAATATAAAATTATTTACACTGCAACAAATTCGTTAAACAATAGTGTAACAAAAACAGTGTAACAATACACTGTAATAAAAACAGTGTCCAGTAGTTTTGTACATGTTGTAACAACTTCAAAACAAAGATGAACTGTTTTGAATGAAATTATATGAAAATATATGTTTGACAAAATATAATAGTATAATATTTTGTGTAAATGTCTTGTTACACTGTTATTGGTACATTGTTATTATTACACTATTATTATTACACTGTTATGGAGTTCGGATAATAATATAATTTGAATACAAAACTACTTTTAAAAAAAAAAATACGCACGAATCAAGATGCATTAAATATAATTTGAAAGTAAAACCACTTTCCAAAAAATATATATATATACACGTATGAATCAATGGAGGATATAAAGGTCAAAAGAAAATATGAAAATTTCAAATAATGTACTTAAAAACAAATAAGTATCAAAATTAAGAACTTTTTTATCCTATATTTTTTTCTGTGTTTTTTTATAATTAACTCTAATTTGGTGTACTCCCTTCCAATTTTTCCTAGAAAAAAATATAATTAGATAGACGTATATATAATTAGCCATATGAAGTGAAATGATATAAAATTGTACCCACGTGCAAGGATTAATTAATGTACTCACGTGAGAATGATGAGATAGATCACATAGGGGAACATTAAAATAGAAGCCGAACCAAACAGTGAAGACTCGATTCATGACGCTGAGCTGTGTCATTGAGAGCTTGGTAAAAGAAGCCAGAGCTCAGTTTTGATAAAGCCGAGCTCCATTCGGAACCACCTTAAAGAGGGGAATACCTAAAATCAAGGGATTTAGATATAAAGAATAAGCGTAATCATCAGCTAAGGAAAAACTAGTCAATAGAGGGAGCGTTTGGAGAGATTTCAACAATTCCTAACAAATATCTTAGATTAATAGAAAGTGTGTCACCTTGCATCATCAATTAAGGGAATCCTAACAAGAAGAGAGACACTATATAAAGGGTCAAGGATGCACCGTAAAAGGTATGTATAACTTTTTCTGTATACACATTCCTTTTATAACTTACTACTTAAATATCAAAGTGACTTCGACCAAAGCACTTAGATTCTAGGCAATTTTATTCGTTTTGCGGGATGAGGAGGACAAGATACATGAATCATATCCATCAACCAACGTGAGAGATAAACACGTTTTCACCGCTTACATGAAGCATGGACAAAATCGCCTCGGATCCAAAGGCCTAGTAAATGAAGATAAACTATAAATTAAGACTCCATACTACTGAAATCAAACGAAACAATGCCTATTATGTAACACCCTAACATGGGGTACAATATCTATCACATCCATCAACAACCACATATCTCTGCCACTTTCCTATTCATAGAAATTCACCCAAAAACCTTAGATAAAAAGGTTTATCATGAGTCCTACTTATTCATAGACAGTGATACAAATAATAAAAAAAAAACACCATCACCTAAAAAAAAAAAATATCCCACAATTACATCTCAATCGATTATTTAAACTCGACAGTGGACTTGTCGCATCTTTAGAGTTTTTCCTGAAAAGTTATTGAGACCATTAGTGAGAGTAAGGATGCAATCAATAATCATGAGCATACCAAGAGATAAACAAAATACTTTATTTATTTAGGAATAAACTTAACCACATTGCAATTATCAACATTTAAATTACACTTCAGCACTTAGACGTTGTTCGGATATATCACATATGCATAACTTATATAAATCACATAGGCAAAATTTTAACACTAAAATAGTTGCTTTCACATAATTAAACTATGCCACACAACGAATTCCCTCACGCATACCCCCAACCACAAAGGAAATTCAAGTTACACAAATAATTCTCGTCACTTAGACAACATATACCAATAAATAATTCTCATAACTTAGAAGATTCAAATCAGATAAATATTTCTCATTCTTGTCACTTAGATGACTTAAATACTTAATTTAATTCTGTCATGAAGATGCCGTTGTTTAATCAACCTGAATCACAAGGCTAATTTCGATTACATAAACGACTCGTATCATGCAATTAAATCTTGTCTTATTGGTGACTCATAATCACTAAATATTTCTTGTCATATAGACGACATGCAACTACTTGGTAATTTCCATCACATAGACCTTATACAATCACTTAATATTTTTTGTCATGAAGACGACACACAAACTTAACATTTCTCGTTACGTCGATGACTCATATGCTTAATATTTTCCTGTCACATAGATGACACACAAACTTAACATTTCCTATCATGTGGATGTCACCTAATCACTTAATACTTAACATCACAAAGATGACACACAAGCTTAATTTTTCCTGTCATGTAGACGACACGCAACTACTTAAAAATTCATGTCACGTAGACATTTTACAATCACTTAATATTTGTCGTCACAAAGACGATACACAAACTTAATATTTCCTGTCACATAGACGTCACACAAATACTTAATATTCCCGTCATGAAGACAAATCATATACTTAATATTTTCTGTCATGTAGATGACACACAACTACTTAAAAATTCATGTCATGTAGACATTTCACAGTCACTTAATATTTTTCATCACAAAGACAACACACAAACTTAATATTTTCCGTCACGAAGACGAATCATATACTTAATATTTTCCGTCACGTAGACGACACGCATCTACTTAAAAATTCATGTCACGTAGATATTTCACAGCCTCTTAATATTTTTCGTCACGAAAACGATTTGTATGACACTTCTATCACATGGACACCTCGTGCATTTAAAATATTTTCAATTGATTGCATGAGCCACACTCTCATCGCAACTCTCGTCNCTTCTATCACATGGACACCTCGTGCATTTAAAATATTTTCAATTGATTGCATGAGCCACACTCTCATCGCAACTCTCGTCATTTTGATAGCTCACACCTACATTATTATCTCATCTTAGAAATGTATCATGTTCGCAAATAAATTCAGCTCAAGCACGATCAACTTGAAATGCATGTCTTTGTTCCACCACACAGTCGATCCAAGCCACAAAGACTTACTTAATTTATCGCTTAGACAATTTCTATCACACAGCCATATTCTACCATTGTATAGTCTCAACAAAAATCATAATATAAACATATAACAAAGCTTAATTGTTGCTCAATAAAATATATAGGATATTACACCTACCTTACGTGAAATTCTATCTTGTAGACGACCCTTCTACTAGAACTTTGAGTGTAGCATGCTTTAAAGTGTTCGCCGCTAGATCTGTTGTACCCACTTCCTACACCCCCAAGTACCACCACTATCTTCCACCATTAAACCACCACCAAGCTCCACTTTAAAGTTCCATTCTTTTTGTTCCTTGCCATGGCCGAGACCTCCAAGTTGGAGAGCTTTCCTTTGCGTTTTGTTTTCTTAGCCGAAAATTCCCAAATGGTTCAAGAGAGTTCCTCCTCTTTTTTATTTTTATAAGTCTTAATGGAGTGCCCACCCCCTCTCCCTCTAACCGTCCACTCCCCCTCCCTCTAAATTACACCCATACAATTTTTTCC